GGAGAAAAACTTCTTCAAGAGAAAGAAGTTGGTTCAAACCCAGTTCGGCTCAGGGAGAATAATGGATCGTGTTTCGTAAAGGTATTACTGACTCCGTACAGGTGTGTCGACGAATGCAGGTAAGTGATTCGTCGCGTTTATGTTGTAATGCCTATTTAGTTTTGTTTCTGTCTTTATAGGTAATAAAAGCCACTGTGCACCTGCAATTAGAATTAGGTTTCTTCTTTTTCTTCTCAGGGGAAGTCCAAGATTGTGAAATGTGTTTAAAATAGAGTTTTCAGTAGATATCAAAATTACACAAAAGTTGGTTTTCCCCTGAATAGTCTATATTATACGCATGCGTGTATCCTATATGTAGGAATGGAATTTTATACATTTGAGGGTAGCTACTGTATATACTTGATGATGGAAGTTCGGCTCATTTCCACGAATCGGTTCTTTCGAACAGTCCGACAACGATTCTGCGATACGATACGTTTTTGTCACAACAACGCAATAAACTTTCTCGCATAGCTATTACAAGCTCGTGTCTCAGTTCAGTTTGTTGCAGCCAACATGGCTCTGGAAAACAAAATATATTTGTACCTAAAAACAATTTGTTATAATAAATCAACATTATTTTTGCACTGAATAAAAGGCTACTTGCATCAGTCGACCTTCTGAAGAACCTCTCGGATCGATACAGACTGTTTTGTGAACCGGTTCAATTGATTCATTAAAAAGTTTCGACTCAAAACAACATCGCTGTTGTATTATTCGATATGCTGTTTATCATATTTTCTTAATAAACATTACATTAAATTGGATATTTATCTCTTTATGCCTCTTCAGAAAGTTTAAGGGTTATTTTTGTCCTGTAGCGGAGATGGGGGGCTGTTGGAGATGGTGCTACACGACGTGCATCTGTTGCTTGTCTGAAGATGAGAAGAACGCCATCGTCATACACAACGAAATCAAAAGAATCCTTGCAGATCAGAAGAAACGAGAACGCAGAGAAATCAAAGTGCTTCTGTTAGGTGAGATATGTCTACATATTAAAGTGTTTATATATTTAAAAACTATTAGAAGCACAAATGTGGACACCGAAGACATCACCTAAGGAGCTGCCTGAGATCTTTAAATGTAGTATCAAGTGAGTGCATCTCTGAGTCATCTTAACTGTGAAGGGAGTGAACCATTATGTGGAAAATAGCCTACTTGTTAATGCATGTTCCTACCAAGGCATTGAAATCTTTTTTTTTTTTTTTGCATTACTGTTGAAGAACATCAACAAACCAGAATGGCAGATTATTGTTGTGGCAAGTTAAATTGAGGGATGATGTTGAGGTGTTTTAACTGCTTGACATGTCACATTACCTATCCATTGTTGTGGCTCCTACATGGAGATAGTTGTATGTCAAGTTAGTATGACTAATCTCTTTATCACGCGATGTCTTGAGGGACACATTCTTGAGAGATCAAGTGATCAGGGCATGCCTGACTTTTTTTTCTTCTGCTGGTTGTGATAATGGAGTGGGTAAAAACTGCTCACACTGATTTGATTTGATTTGACGTGATGTGTGTGATTGTTTGCCCGTCAAATATTTGCCGTTTGAGAAACAGCGAGAACAGTCTAAGTCACTGATAACTGGTTAACGCTTGTCTGCTCAAATCACTTAAACCCAAACAATACGAGAGAAATAGTTGTAGAGTTCACAGCCAAGAAAGTCCCCCGATGGTGCAGGACACCTCAGTTTAAAGGCATCCAAACACATCTGGCTGCATACTTTCTGACAGTCTCCAGCTGTCAGTCTAAACACGATTAAAACATCTCGCTTCGTGGATGCTCTGTTAACAGGACAGATAACATTCCTTTGTGTGTGAAAAAAGCCTCAAATGTTATCATCTGCACGTTGCATTCCTTTCGGTTCTCCATTTTTGTCATTCCATGACCTGGTTTCAAAACTAGCATTTGACATCCCTTTTCTGTTTCATGTCATATTTATTTATTTATTGTGGATTTCAGGCACTGGAGAAAGCGGGAAGACGACTTTTATCAAGCAGATGAGGATTATTCACGGCAAGGGCTTTTCCGAAGAAGACAGGCGTGGATACACTAAACTGGTTTTCCAGAATATCTTCACAGCTATGAAGGCTCTGACAGTGGCCATGAACACCCTAAAGATTCCCTATGCTAACCCGCAAAACGAGGTGACCTGCCAGAGAAAAACTCTGATTGTTTCTGAATCCCTCTCAGTATTATATTTGAAATTAAGTGCACAACAGAAACGCCCACTGACAGCACAATTTACACAAGCAAGTACTACCTGTTTCAGACACTGGGTTGTGATTACTACTGAATTTGTATGGGCAGGGTATTTCAATCAAATGAACTATTGCCAAATTTGACCAAAAAACTAACTTAATTATGTAATATAAAATATGTAAAATTCATTTTTTAATTAATATACTCTGTACAATTACTGTAAAATGATTCTAAATTATTAGTGCAGTACATATTGTTTTTACAGTACAAATTTGATATAATTAGTTTTTATAATTATTTCACAAAAGTAAATATATATATGTGTGTGTGTGTGTGTGTATATATATATATATACACAAACACACACACACACATTTAAAGAATGCCGGCTGTTCTGACTCACAGACTGTAAGTACGTTTTCATATTTAAAGGATTTGCCACTGATGATTCAAACGCGAGTTTTGGGCAGTGTAGAGTAGCGCTTGTTGTTTGTCATTTCTCCGATCACAAATGCAAACATGGTTTTATGTTACGCTCCGGCCAGGACACGGCATCACAATATAGCAAGGGGCGTAACATTTCCGTCACACGCTTGAGGTATTTGGCCAATCACAATGCACTGGATAGCTGGCCAATCAGAGCACACCTCACTTTTCAGACCGATGAGCTTTGTAAAAATTGACGCGTTTCAGAAAGGCGGGGCATAGAGGAGAAACAATAATGTACAGTATGTGGAAAATAATGTGTTTTTTTAACCTTAAACCGCATAAACATATTTCATTACACCAAATACACAAAATAATGTTCTTTTTAGCAGCATCATATGACCCCTTTAAACAGACAAATCATCAACCTTTATGAAAAGCAGAGACAGTCGTCCTTTCAAATAGAGCAGAAATATAGAAAGCATCCACACAATATTTATATAAATAAGCCTCATTTGTTGCCATTGATGTCCATAGGTATATGGGAAACAGTTTCAGGAAGTGGAGATCCGTCAGATGGCACATTTGGACAGAATGTATGTAGACGCTATCCGCCGACTTTGGGCTGACGAGGGTATCAAGGCCTGTTACAGTCGTCGTAGAGAGTACCAGCTTCTGGACTCCACAGAATAGTGAGTATATGTATCAAAAAATAAACTTGGACGGGGTGATCAGAACCCTGACACGAAGCCTTATATCATTCTAAAGGGGTTGATTTTACAATAATGACCAGTTACTGTATATTATACTGTATATTAGCATGTTTATTACATGAAAACATAATAAATAAATAAATATATGTGGCCATGATATATTAATTTGAGAGACAGCAGAATACTACAAGAAGTTTGAATTTGAATATTTATTATATATTACATTTCTGTTGAATGTAGTATTTGAAGCATGTATGTTCTTAGAATTAGAATTAGAATGATAAATTAATGATGATACCATCTAATATATAAATTAATTTATTTGTAATGTTATATTATGATATTAATTCATTAAATCTAAAATGATCTGTATTAATTGTTATTAATATACTATATTATGAATAATCATTTCTTATATCACATGAATGAATAAATTAAATTGTATATATATTTAATGAAATGTAGTATTTCTATTTATGTTTTATAATTAGAATATAATTAGGTATTTATATTATTTATAGATGTTATCTATTATATAATTTTGCTAGCTAATTTATTTGTAATATCATATTATGATATTTATTAAATTGGATATGATTAGTATTAGAATAAGTTATATAACTACAGTAATAATGTTAACAAATATATTTCTAACATATTAAAATGACTGTTATTACATCAATGCTAACATATAATATTAATACTAATATATTCATACTAGCAAGAATTTTAGCAGTTATTTTTTTGTCAAATGTTTATGTATATAATGTTTATGATCAAAACCCCAAAATGGTTTGTGCAGATCCACATAGCACCATTGGAGGGCAATACAGCTGTATCTTTAGACAAGCATACAAGTCCAAACAAGTCAGTACTGCAGTAAACCATTCGGTTGAATTAAATATGAATGAGTTTTCTTTCTGTTCTCTTCTTTGACAACTGCTGTGGTGTCTTTTATTTTAGTCATATATTATTAACACATTTTCACTTTTCAATTGTTATAAGATGAATAATGTGTGTTTTTGTTTTAATGCGGTTAATGCTCACTTGAAGCCTTGAATTAAGGCAGTACTGCTTATTGTTAAGCACATTTCCTGTAAAGTACATCAGTGTGTTCTTGTTAATCGTTACCTAATCACTCCTTTACACAGTTCTGCATGTCCTTCACGTTCTCTCTTCCTGCTTCCCTGATCGTGTTTTCAGTTCTACAAACCTGGCCATGATAAGATACACAAACAAACCAGGACGTTTAATTAAACTGCCGTCTAAAGCACAAACAGCAATAAAGCAAAAGGCAAACATCATGGCACTTTATCACACTTACACAGTTCTGAAATGTTACACTGAAGTATGTTGGATTTTTTTTTTTTAGCTATATGGCAAATTTGGACCGTATTGCGGCCCCAGACTTCATCCCTACAGCACATTTCCTGTAAAGTACATCAGTGTGTTCTTGTTAATCGTTACCTAATCAGTTCTGCATGTCCTTCACGTTCTCTCCTCCTGCTTCCCTGATCGTGTTTTCAGTTCTACAAACCTGGCCATGATAAGATACACAAACAAACCAGGACGTTTAATTAAACTGCCGTCTAAAGCACAAACAGCAATAAAGCAAAAGGCAAACATCATGGCACTTTATCACACTTACACAGTTCTGAAATGTTACACTGAAGTATGTTGGATTTTTTTTTTTTAGCTATATGGCAAATTTGGACCGTATTGCGGCCCCAGACTTCATCCCTACAGCCCAGGATGTGCTCCGAGTCCGATTCCCCACCACAGGCATCAATGACTACTCCTTCAGTGTGGAGAAAATCACCCTCAGGTACCGTAATGGACATATTTTATCGAATTAAAAATTTTCATTATTACACTTCAAGTCTTTTTTTTTTTTGCGCTAAAATTTGCTCCCTCTCACCCCATCCAAGATGCAGATGAGTTTCTTTCTTCATCAGAACAGATTTGGAGAAATTTAGCATTACATCACTTGCTCACCAATGGATCCTCTGCAGTGAATGGGTGCCGTCAGAATCCAAACAGCTGATAAAAACATCACAATAATCCACAAGTAATCCACACCATTCCAGAACATCAATTAACATCTTGTGAAGAAACAAATCCATCATTAAGGCGTTTAAACCATCGCTTCTGGCCATAATCAATAATAACGCTTCCTCCAGTGAAAAAGTCACCTCATCTGAATCAGGAGAGAAATATGCACATATCAAGAACAGTTTACAAGTGAAAACAGTGCAAAACAGTTCAAAACAAACATGTGAGTAACAGATATATCAAAAAACAAATATGGATTTTGATGTGAGATGACAACAGGAGGATGGTCTTTTTCACTAGAGGAAGTGTTATAATGGATTGTGGACTCATATTTTGTCCAGAAGTGCCAAAACCCAGAGCTTTTCACTTCACAAAACATTAATTGATGTTCTGGAGTGGTGTGGAGTACTTGTAGATTATTGTGATATTTTTATCAGCTGTTTGGATTCTGACGGCACCCATTCACTGCAGAGGATCCACTAGTGAGCAAGTACTGTAATAGCTAAATTTCTCCAAATCTGTTCTGATGAAGAAACAAACTCATCTGCATCTTAGATGGCCTAAGGGTGAGTACATTTTCTGCAAAATTTCAAAATTTTTTTGCACTCATATTTTATTCAGAAAACTTATAGCTAAATTTCTCCAAATCTGTTCTGATGAAGAAACAAACTCATCTACATCTTAGATGGCCTAAGGGTGAGTACAAATTTCAAATTTTTTTTGCACTCATAATTTATTCAGAAAACATGAAAACATTTTTATAAAGAAAGATGATGTGAGTCAAATACCTGATGCAACCCTGTATATTTTGAGGTAGACATGTTTGATATATGACAGCAAGGATGTAGGAACAAATGGTTGAGGGGTTGACGGTTAGTGTTTAATGTTTTGGGTTTAAACAGAAAGTTTCAAGAATAAACAACAGAATTTAATCTCGGTCTTACCACTTTTTTTTTTTTCTGAAGAATTGTGGATGTGGGTGGCCAGAAGTCCGAGAGGCGGAAATGGATCCATTGCTTTGAGAATGTGACATCGCTCATATTTTTAGCCTCACTCAGCGAGTACGACCAGGTGCTGGAGGAGAATAACAAGGAGGTGAGCGTCTCCTTCGCCCCAGTCTGTCTGAATCTCTCTTGTCCTAGTCGATTGCTTTGATCAGTATATTTGGGTCTGGACTTGGATCAGTACTGAGGCATATTTCACTGCAACTCAAAGACAAAAAGAAATGTGCACACTTCTAATTTGCACAAAGATATAAAGCCTGTTTTTAAAATCAATAACTTGTTGTGACTATGTAATTCATTAGCTAACGAAAACTAATTACTAACTAAAATGTTAATTAAAATGAAAAATAAAATAAAGTACTAATATAAAGTATAACTTATTTACTAAAAATAAATAATATACAAATGATAAAAATATTTATTTATATTATTATATATTTATAGCAGCTAAATATACTAATAACACGGCTGCTGTGATGTCTGTTAATCAAGGAACAAAAGAAAAAAGAAATCAATAACGTTTGTAGCTTTAAGGATTAATCTACATTTAATTTAGAATTTAGTGTTTAATAACTTTATTCAATTTCTGTATATTTTACTACTTGCTGAAAGGCACAGGTAAATATGACATATATTATAATGGGTTTATGTGAAGATTGTTTTAAGTTCACTTAAGTTATTTTTTAAATATTAAATATTTTTATTATAATGTAATGTTGAAGGGCTATAGTCAATGGTTAAATATTAGGAAAAAAATAACAATTTTATAGAGACATATTGGTATTGGTATCAGTGATACTTACCTTCAGACATAAAAAAGATGCCACTAAACAAATATTAAAAATATACTGTCTTTATGTTGTTTCTACATTAATTTGAAGATGGAATGTGAAATTATTGCAATATAAAAGTATATTAAAAAACTTTAATATTAGATGGGATTCATCACGATTAATTCGTTTTTTTAATCGATTGACAGCACTAATATATATATATATATATATAAACAAAAACTAATAAAAATGATAAAAGCACACAAAAATTAAAAATTAAAGATAAGATAACAGAAATTAAAAATTCACTTACAATTAAAAATTAAAATAAAATATAATAATACAACCACATTTAAGAGATTAATAAATAATATAATAGTATATAATTAATACTAAAATAATGCTTGTTCATCAATGAAAATCATCTATACATGCTTTTTTTACATGACAAAAGCATAAAAAAAAGTTAAATAGTTACATTTATTTTTGTATTACATTAGTGTACTAATTTAATAAGTTAGATTATCATTATTTAAATAATTGTCATGAAAATACTGTCACAATGCAAAACATCTCAATGGCCCTAAAATAGGCTTAATTTTATTAATGCAAAAACATTTTTCTTTTCTTTTTGTTTCTTTTTTCTTTTTTTTTGACATTGAGGTGAAACACGACCCAGACATTTCTAGACAGATTCACATTCTATTGTTTCACGTTTGTTTGCACCTTCCCTGAAATGCTCCTTCCTGTTCTCTTCCCATGCAGCACTGATAAATTGCGTAATCTCTTGTCTCTCATTTAATTACCTTCTGCTGTGAATGCTTGCTCTCTCCGGCTCCAGAACCGCATGAAAGAGAGCTTGTCACTCTTCTACACCACCATCCACTCGCCGTGGTTCGCCAGTGCCTCCATCATCCTCTTCTTAAACAAGATGGACATCCTGGAGGAAAAGATCAAGACGTCAGACCTAAAAACTTACTTCGCAGGGTTTGACGGTATGGAAATAAGTATTTGTGCACCAACAATTCAGTAAATCAACCCCAACCTGCCCTGCCCCTTGAAAAAAAATATTATGGGATGAGAATATCAGGCTGGCTAGGAAACGGAATTGACAATGCAGTTGGAACAGGTTTTGCTTCACAGCAGATGGTGTAGGACAGATATTAGTTTCTTAGTGCTGATATGGAGGCAGTATTTGTGGAAATGGCCCCAGTTTGATCGCTTTAGATCTCTCACCCTCTACCCGTTACCAACGGCAACCAAAAAATAGCCAATTCCATGCATTTACAGGCGTTTACCGTGCATTTACTCTCTGATAGGAGTAGCTCCATCTTTGAGATTTAAAGATAGACAGCCTGTTATGGTTAAATTTAAAGAGACAGTACGCCTAAAAAGACAAATTCTATTGTGATATATTATTAAAGCAATAAGCACCAAGAAGCCGGAACAGCTTCGAACGCGGCTCAACCAATCAGAATCAAGGACCGGAACTATCTGTTTTATAATATAAAATGTAATTTATTCCTGTGATGCAAAGCTGAATTTTCAGCATCATTAGTCCAATCTTCAGTGTCACATGATCCTTCAGAAATCATTCTAATGTTCTGATTTGCTGCTTAATCATTATCAGTATTTTTGGTGCTCAGTTATTAATAATGGTTCTTATTATCAATGTATAAAAGCTCATTCAAGATATTAATAAATATGAACAAATTTATTCTATTAATATTTAATTATATTGTATAAATGATTTAATTATATTCTGGTGATGGCAAAGCTAAATTTTCAGTGTTACCATTCAAAAGTATCAGAGGTATGATTAAAAAAATAAATAAATAAAATGAAGAAAGCAATACTTCTATTTAGCTAGGATGCATTAAATTGTTTACATTTATAATGTTACAAAAGATTTCGATTTCACAAAATGCTGTTCTTTTAAACGTTGCGTTCATCAAAGGATCCTGATGAAAATGTATCACACTTTCCACAAAAATATCAAGCAGCACAACTGTGTTCAACATCGATGATAATAAGAAATGTTTCTTACTCGGCGTAATCAGTATATTAGAATCATTTCTGAAGGATTATGTGACACTGAAGACCCGAATAATGGCTGCTATTTTAACCTGCAATCATTTTTACCGAACAAATAAATGCAGAAATAATCAAGCAATTTTTTGATTAAATCAACCCAGCCTTGTTTGGAAAAGAGTTGCGTGAACATTCTGCTTAATATCTCCATTTGTGTTTTACAAAAGAAAGTCAGTCAGACAGGGCCAGTAGAAGATGACAGTCATTTCTGAGTGATCTGTCCCTTTAATACAACATCAACCCAATGAAACAGCTATGAACTTTGAGCTCTAAAAGGGTTAAATATTCATTCTTAATAGTGATTTTAAAAATGTTTGCTTAGATTCTTTCTCTCGGCTTACTTTATTGGTCCCGCCTCTATGATTTGCATGTGCTCCTCCCAGTTCAATGGCTCTTACCTTCCAAGCTTGCACTAACTCCTCCCCTCCTCTGTGGTTTGGTGCCACCTTCAGGCAAACGGCGGGACGCGCAAGATGCCATGGACTTCATTTACAATATGTATAAACAGAGGGCCGTGAGTGCTGAGACAAAGGAGTGCAAAAACATCTACCCTCACTTCACCTGCGCAACGGACACCAATAACATCCGGAAGGTTTTCAATGACGTGAAAGACACTGTCCTTATCAAGTCTCTGCAGGAATACGGAGTGCTCTGACGGATACGTAGTGCTTCTGCCAACCTAATAAACTGAGCTTGGAGGGACACACAATTGATGGCTTGATTTGTTTTTCCTTGTGCCACCTCTATGCAGCCTTCCTTTTCTTTGTCTTTTGCTCCATCTATTCCTATATTCCTACTTTTTTGTCATTTTGGTGGATTAAAACATCAGATTCTTACGATATGACACACTTTCTTCAAACTAGATCATTGCAAGTCACCTACTTAAAGAGACATCACTCTGAAGGAATGAGGAAGCTGTGGCTGTCACAGGAACGCCACACAACAGGCAGATTTTCAGCGTGTTTTTGGTTTCGAGGGGGTGGCAGGAATTTTACACTATAGCTGCTGGCAAGAATGAACTGAGAAATAGAAAGCAACGTTTGGCTGATCTGTACTGGAGAACAGTACAAATATTTGACTTTACTGATTACTTAGAGCAAGAGGGTGGGAGTTTCTTTTCAAATAGGACTAAAAAGTAATATGGAAGCCTGTTTCTTCCACAGAATAAATCAAACATAATGAATAATAAATAAGCATAAAAAATATAACCTGCCATCTCACAATTCCGACTGTATCGTGAGAAATAAACGTACAATTCTGAGAAGAAAAGTCTGAAATTGTACAATATAAACTCGAAAATTGTGAGAAGTCGCAACTGCTAAACGGTTACACTTGATTTTAAGGCGTCCTTGTTACAGTGTAATTATACATTTAAGTACTGAGTAATAATAATTAACTACATGTACTTACTATATGTTTAGGGTTAGGATTAGGGTTTGGCTTAGGGTTACTTGTGCGTAATTATTCATAATTTATTGTTATTATAATAGCAAGTGTAACGTGTAACAAGGACACCTTAAAATAAAGTGTTACCAAAAAAAAAAGTTTGAATTGTGAGATCAAATCACAATGAATGTTTTTTTTAGTGGTGGAAAAAAATAAATAAAAATAAAATAAAAAGATTTGCGAGATGTAAACTCAGAATTGCGAGAAATAAAGTCAGAATAGATTTTTTTCTTGGAATTGCAAGTTTATATTTATATATTGCATTTTTATATATATATATATATATATATATATATATATGTATGAATATTTATATCACAATAATGAGAAAGATGTAAACTCAGAATTGCGAGAAATAAAGTCAGAATAGATTTTTTTCTTGGAATTGCAAGTTTATATTTATATATTGCATTTTTATATATATATATATATATATATATATATATATATGTATGAATATTTATATCACAATAATGAGAAATAAAGTCAGAATTGTGAGATAAAAAGTTGCAATTACCTTTTAATTCCTTGACAGAAACAGGCTTCCATAATTTTCTTTAAGTAACATGGAGTAATTTTTTTTTTATTACACAAACAGAAGCCAAATTGTTACAAAGAAGTTGGGGTCTTAAATTACAAATCTTTCAAGTAAAATGTCACTGTTTGTGATCTGAAGTATTTTTTGGTCCCACTTTATATTAAGTGGCCTTAACTACTATGTGCTTACGTTTAAATTAATCATTTGGTACAATGTACTTATTGTGTACATGTTTTTGCATTGTACTTATATTGTAATAAATACCTACATGTAATTACATCTGTAATTACACTATTGACCATCCCTTGCACCTTAACCCACCCTTAAACCTACCCATACCACCAAACCTGTCCCTAACCTCACCCGTATCCAACCTCAATAGCAGCAGAAGTGTTTTGCAATACAATATGAACACAATAAGTACATTGTACTTATTTTTTGATGCAAGTACATAGTAGTTAAGGCCACTTAATATAAAGTGGGAACCATTTTTCTTTACAAACTATTTTATTTTAGAGCAAGAAATACTCTTATATATTTGCTCAAAATGGAGATAATACTGTTACTTTCATGTCAAATGTATGAATTTGTTTATATATACACATTATGATGTGTATACATTTGATATATATAAAAGTATAGTTCTTCTGGTAGTTTTGATGGTCTGTTTGTTGTGTATAATAATAGTATCTTTATCATAAAACTGTTATTAGTTAATACACAATGCATATATATATATATATATATATATATATATGGTTAATTTAGTATTAATTTATACAAAACTTGGGTTAGCTGTTAAATTGTAATTTAAGCATTTAAATTGACCCAATCCATCTGCTGTAATTAAAATTAGACACTTTACATAATTTCTAATACTAGTGTGCTCACTATGAATCAGTCAGGAAAGAATACATTTGTTTTGCAATATTTTTAAAACTGGAAATTTAACTTAAGGCCTTTACGTTTATAAATATCACCAAGAATCAACTACATGTAGACACTTTCCATGAATAAAGTACAAAAGTACAAATACAAGTTGTTTTCTATCTTTCTCAACAAATGGTTGATGAAAAGGGGTGGTTTATCTTTAAAAAAAAATATTGATTGTAAACCTCCGAAGGTAAAAAATTATTTTTTTTATTCATTTTGTTTATTTTCTGTTCATTTTGATTTTTCATTCTATTTATGTGATTTGCAATTGTTGCAACGGTCAACAAAATTTGGCAACCCTGTTACCATTAAATTCTTTCTAAATAGAATATAAATACAATTTACTTTTAACTTTTCTTATTTCTTACCGATAAAAATGAAAATTAACATCAAATTGGGGGGGGGGGG